TAGGCTCAACCTGCTCTCAGGACCCTTGTGCTCCCCGTCTTGACAATGAGATTGTTGAGCACAGAGAGGTTAGGCTATGTGTCCAGGGTCACACAGCTGACAGCTGGAGCTGGGATTTGGGGCCAGGTGGTTGCCCCATCCCTTCTCTGGCTGTGCCCAGGGCAGCCCCTTCCATGGCAGCTCAGGGGCAGTAGGAATCTGAGCCATTGGTCACACATTGTGAGGAGGGCTACAGCAGCAGCCCTGGGCTCAGGTTTGGTGGCAGGGCCATTAGGCACATCTGTACCCGGATTCCAGTCACATGTAGGTAGAGGGTATGCTGCCACAGGTACCACAAAAGGGCAGTGGTAGCCATGACAGCTGAAGGACCCAACGGGCCCTGGTGGGGAGGGAGTTTTAGCCTCTACACAGCCTCTGCCCAAAAACGTAGGGCTGCCCTGTCTTCCGATGAGGGCAGATCTGGGGCTGTATCACCAAAGGCCAAGGGACTGGCCCTGCTGGGCGCCCACCCACACAGGGTCCTTACATCCTGATCTGACACGTAGACCACAGGCCCTGGGGGTCCAGGGGGCCCAGGGAGGCCAGGCTGCCCCACTCCATCCTTTCCTGGGTCGCCCTGCAAGAGAGTGTCATGTGTCAGCCCTACACAACTGCTGTTCTGTCCAGGTCCCCAGAGCCCATTTAGCCTCGGAGGGGGTTCCCACAGCCCATGGGGCTGTGTGGCTGGCACAGGGGTGTGTACAGTGGCCCTGTTCCTCAGGACAGGCTCCAATCAAGGGCCATCCCACTTCATATGCTGCATCCCTGGGAGCCACCCCTACCCACTTGAGGGCCCCATGTTCTCAGGCCACATGAGTGGCGGGGTGGGAGGTACCAGCCCCACTGTCCACCCGCTCTATGCCTACACCACACCCCACCCTGCCCTGTAGGGACTCACTTTTTCTCCCTGGCTCCCTTTATCTCCTTTTGGTCCCTGCAGAGACAGAGAGAAATGGTTTGTCACAAACACAGAGAGCCCTTTAGGGGCAGGGACCAGACTCCAGGGACAGTCCTCTATTCCCTGGGCCACTGGGGACTGTGTGCCCGCTCTCCTCCAGATGTGGCTCCTCTAGGGGCTTCTCCCCTTTGGCACGCTGGGCCCATCATAGTCACTCACCGTCGGCCCAGCTAAACCCTCTCTGCCAGGGAGACCAGGGAACCCGCGGGCTCCATCCGCTCCAACTTCTCCCTGGAACAGATAAGCGGAGGGTTCAGCACACTGGCTGTGGAGTAGGGGCTGTGGAGCCCCAGGCGGAAGCCACCGAGCTGTGGACTCACCGTCGGCCCAGCTAAACCCTCTCTGCCAGGGAGACCAGGGAACCCGCGGGCTCCATCCGCTCCAACTTCTCCCTGGAACAGATAAGCGGAGGGTTCAGCACACTGGCTGTGGAGTAGGGGGCTGTGGAGACCCCAGGCGGAAGCCACCGAGCTGTGGATGGGACAATATCCCAGACTTCTGCTGGTCCCTAGCCGAGGCCTGAAGGGGATGCAACCGCCAGCCCTCAAAGGGAGGACGTGTGAGGGGAGGAAGAAGAGGATCCCGAGGGGCCTGGGCGTTCAGATGACTGGTGTAGCTCGCACAGTTTATGTGCAGGGAAGAGAAGGAAGCTCATGTTCCTCCACTCGGTGACATCCAGGGGAGCCTGGGATGTCCACGGGGATGGGGAGGCTCTGGGAGAGAATGTCCTGGGGTCACATTTAGAGCAGGCATGGAGTAAATTATAAAGAAACAAAAGGAGGCCAAGGAAGGAGGACCAAGGCCCGGGCTGGACAGAGGTTTCTCCTGTGTCCTCTGCACCCGGCCTGACCACCTCTGGGGTGTGCCTGACATCACCACCACTGAGGCACAGTGGTGATGGGGCTTCTTGCTTCTGGGGGTCCTGCCTCCCAGATGGCTCAGTTTCCTGAGCCTCAGCAAGGTTCTTACCTTGGCCCCAGGTGGTCCAGTCACTCCGGGATCACCCTAGGTGGACAAAGGGCTCTGTGAGTGTGGTACGTGGTCCAGCCCACCCCTGGGTGATATCCACCTGCTTCTCCGTGGAGAAGGGGGCGATAACCACATAGGGCACCCCCCACCTTGGACCCCTTCCCCAGCTCAGAACTGAGGGGTCCTGGGACGACCCCACCTGTCCTTGAACCCAGCTCTGGCCCTAAAGGGCTTTGATGGTAGGGGGTGAGTGGAAGATGGCAGCTGCCCATGGTGACTACCAGAGGCAGCCAGATGGAGACTCCCCTGGAGTGGCTCCTGTCCCACCCTGACCCCGAAGCCTGGCACAGGCCTGAGGAAAGGTGGGGGCTGCAAGGCCCCACAGGGATGGGAGGAATAGAGGCTGCGTTCCTGGCCCCTCAGGCTGAGGATCTGGGGGCTCGGGGCTCCTTCCTGAAGCCCTAATAGACTTCAGCTGGTGGGATCAGGAACCTGAACTCTCAGGGCTTTGGAAAGAACATGGATGACACCAGCCCCGACGCTCGGTGTCTTGGAGGGCAGTGGCTGTTTTCTCTGCTAGAGTTTTCCTGTATTTTGTTTCCCAGGTCAAACTCCCACTTGTCTTGTGATCAGAAAACCACGGCCGCTGAGGCAGTAACTCCGCAGCCAGCAGCAGGGGCTTCTCTGCTATCGAAAGGAGGTCAAGATCTCTTCTCACTGACCTTGAGTCCTGGTAGGCCGGGCGGGCCCTGTCAGGGCAGAGGAGATGTAGAATTAGTGCAGCTTCCCCTGCTGCGAGATACTTTATCCCATGGGAAAATACGCCCTTTCCTAGCACTACAGCTCCAATGGAAAAGAGAAACTCCAGTTTTCTATAAAGGAGCCAATGTGCCCTGCAAAATGCCACAGGCAGGGGTGGGGGCCTCACCACCATCACCATGGTCTCTGCGTGGCCTGGGGCTGCCGTGTCACCAGCTGAGTCACCCCACAAGCCATTCCTGCCTGCCTATCACCAAAATAACCCTTTATTTCATTTAGCTAAAAAGGAAGCGCACTTTAACAACTGTCAGTGTGTCCACAGCCTGTGCAGCTTGCTGAGAGCCCTGAGGCTGACAGACGAAGCCGTCCCCTTGACAGGTGTGGTGGTACATGCCTGTAATCTGAGCCCTGGGGAGGCTGAGGCAAGAGGATTGCCAGTTCCAGACCAACCTGGGTTACAGCAAGACCCTGTCTCAAAATACCAAAAAAAAAAGCTCTAAGTTATAACAGTAAAGCTATTGTAGCTTATCATGGAATTCCTTTCTGCTTAATTAAAATTCCTCATTAATTTTGCTCAGAATAAGCTTCCTGCTGCATGTTCTCAGCAGGTGGAGTCCGAGTAGCCAAGCAGATGCTGGGATTTAAGGTCAGTGCTCCCCCCACCCCGTGGTACTCTGGTGCCCAGTGACCTTCAGGGGAGGGTAGTGACCTTGGACGAGATGGCATCGCTGGCAGGGCTACAGCAGGGGACAAGGGAGACGTCAGCATCACATCCCCTGGACATGTTCATATCTGTCTGGCCTCACATCTGTCTCATCCGAGCCCAGGGTATTTTGGGATTTTGGTGCCTACTTGCTGACCCCCATTCTGACGAGTGCACAAGTCAGCAGCAGAAAAGTGGAAGTGTCACACAGTGCCCCATTTTAATTCACTCTACTCATGCCAAATATTTGTAACTTCTCAAAAGCAGAGCCGCAGAAAAAATTCAATGTCTTGCTTCTTCACAAAGACCTGTCCTTTAGGGTCTGTCTGCCCCACATTCAGTGACCCTGTCCACTGATCAGCCACCCCTTTCCCCGACCTGGGGACTAGGTTCTCGCCCTGCACTTGCTGACTCAGTAAGTTTCTAGGATGGTTCTGTACACCACCCCCCATATGTAGTGGGTCCTGAGGACACCTCTGCCCTAAGTGTCCCCACCACTCTCTTCGCAGACGGTACCTGTGGTCCAGCAGAGCCTCTGGCTGTCGACCAGAATGGCATCCCAGAGCCTTCCATGTCATCCTGGAAGAGCCACAGGAAGGACACTCAGTCTCAGTCCCTTCTTAAAGGAAAGGCCCCTCCCCGAGACCCAGGAAAGTGGAGGTGGGGCTGCAGGGGAGTGGGCGATTCTCAGGGCTGCGGCCATGTGGGAGGCAGCTGTCCTCAGGGAGTGTCTGAGGTGACAGGGACCCTGGTGAGTGGGAGCCCTGTTCAGCCTCCCGGGTGAGGCTCATCTGCCCTGGGTCTGACATGCCCCAGGTTCCTGAAGAACATCCAAGGGATGGAGGAGCCAGGGCAGCAGCTACGGACTCTGGGACAACAGGGCACAAACACCCCAGACTTTCTGGGAGCTAAGAGCAGCACAGACGCACAAATCCAGCAGCGAATCCTGGTCCTGGTGGCCCTGGGGGTCCCGGGGGTCCTTGCGGTCCAACTGGCCCAGGGGCTCCTGCCAAGCCGTTCTCCCCAGGTGTGCCAACAGGGCCGGGGTCTCCCTTGCTTCCCTGCATGATGGAGAGACAATGTCACTGCCTCTGTCAAGCCCAGGCAGCCACTGTGAACCCAGTACAGATGCTATGCTTCCTTAGTATGCGTTTTTATCTGAAAATCCAGAGATAAGTCACATTCTACAAAGCACTGCGCACCCAGTAGCATCTCATCTGGCTTTACGAGACAATTTCATCCACTTAAAACCAAGAGGGCCCAGCGAGACCCACAGTGCACAAGCCTGCCGCTGTGGTCTCTGGTCACAACGTCCACTCCACAGAGCATGCGGCATGCATGGCCGTTACCTCTGGCCCAGGCTCCCCGATGGGGAGTGGGGGTAGAGAGGAGCAGAGGTAGCAGGCAAGGAGGAAGGGCAGGCCACTGCAAGGAGCAAGGAGAAAGGAGAGAAAGGCTCAGGGCAGGTCTGTGTGTGGACTCAGGACACCGTCTCCACCGAGCAGCTGGGGTTATGGTGGACACAAGGCATGGCTGTCACTTTGTTAGTCTCAAGGACTTCAGTAGCAGTGTGTGTTGGGGCTTGCCTCCCTGCCACTCAGTGTAAGGGAACCAGGGACCTATTGAGGGACCAGAGTGAGGGTGCAGAAGGCTGGACTTCATGCAGTCAGCCCTGAAGCAGGGGCCTGGCTGCTTGCTTGTCCCGGAGACCCCACTCACCACACCCCACTTAGACTCTATAAGCCTGTCTCCCCATTTGAAAACAGACGATCTCCTTGGCTCAGGGAGAACCTTGTGAGACAGTGTGAGAGACACCCTGAGCCCAGTGCTGACTTAAGACAAGGGCAGGGCTCCTGCAGGCACCTGGCCTCACCTCAGCTCTTGCCTGCTGCAGCGGCTGGGTCCCTGGGTCTGAGCCACTGGCACTTGCTGGTTTAAACAGGTAGCTACATGCTGTACATGGTGTCACCAAGAGGGCCCTGAGTTCAGGACTCCCTGCTGACCAGCCCGAAGTCCAGGGGTGTGGGGGCAGGGCAAGCATGGGGGAAGCTGTGACCTCCTCCACTTTCCCTCTCAGAGCCAGCAAGGCCTCCCATTGGAACCACAGGCAGAGCCAGGACGGGCCTCCCCGAAAGCAGCGAAGCATGAGGTCGCTCGGAACCCCACTCACACTGTCCACTGGGAGCTCGATTCCAAATTTGTCAGTTGCCAGGACCACTCTGGTCTCAACGCATTTGGCTCAGACCAGAGCCAGAGCGGGAATGACTGCACAGGACAAATGCACTGCTCCTGCCTGGGCAAGTCCTGGCAGGACAGCCTGAGCTGGGGTCATGGTCAGCACCAAGGAGCACACTTACTGACCACAGGGCCCCCTGCACCCTGCTCAGGACACTTTCACTGAGCGGATGGCCCTGGCTAGGTGAGAAGATGTTGGTTTGTACCTTGGGTCCTGGAGCGCCGACATCACCCTGTGGGGAAAAGGCAGGGTTACAATAAACTCAGACCACCACTGCAGCCCCACCCTGATGTCACCTGCCCCACAGGGATTGGTCTATTTGGGCCATTTAGTCGTTCCTGCTGTAGTCCTGTTTCCAATGGGGATGAACCCCAGGGGAGTCACTCAGCAGAGTGAAGCCAGGAGATCCTGTGCCAAAGTGACCTCAGCCTGACACTGGTGCCCTCCATGATCTGTGTGCCTCCTGCAACCCTGTGTGTCCCCCACAACCCGTGCGCCTCCCCTGCACCCCGTATGCCTCCCACGACCCTATGTGTACCCCCACAACCTGAACGTGCAGGTCTGTGCACCCTCTGCCCATGCAAGTGACACTCGCGAGGTGACTTACAAGGCTGCCTTTCTGGCCCGCCATTCCTGGGGGGCCCTCTTTTCCTGGAGGTCCTGGTGGTCCCTAGGGAGAACAGAGCAGACTGAGGGCTGGATGGAACCCAGTCACTACACAAGAGCCACAGTGAACAGTGACTAGCAGGCTCCCCGAGAAGCTGGGACACAATGTCCCCAGACACAGGCCGAGTCCCGGGCTCAGGGGACACCTGCCGCAGTGCAGAGGCCGCCATGTTCAGTGTTTGCTCTTTGTCTCTCTCCGAGTTGCCAATCAAACTGGGGAGACTGGGGTGGGCTGCTCACACGCTGCTGTTGGGGTGTCCCTAGCTGCTTCAAAGGAACTGCCTAGCAAGGTGTGCAAACCAAACCTCTGGATGGGGTCCACCACATAGCCATACACTTACTGACTGTGACTATGGTGTGTCCTTGAGTGAGAAACAAGGCCACATGGCTGTCACCATGTGACCAGTAACCACAGTGACATCCGTTGGCCCCCACCAGGCCTCTGCTGAGGGCTGGCAAACAGCAGAGCCACAGGGCTCTGCAGTTCCCATGGGTGGTAAGACAGTCACCCCACTTTCCATCCACCCATGCCTCTGAATAAGGCCCCAGGGCTCTCCATCCCAATCATAAGAATAATTTTCAGACACCCTCTGTGAGGTCTGCTGACCTGCAGAGCCTGGAGAGCTTAGCAGAGTAGACTGTGGTCACCCAGAGGTTCAGCACCCCCAGAACTACGGGGCAGCTCACCCAGGCTCCCGTCTTGAAGAATGGATGTCAGGGTGGTGAGCGGAGAGGCCCCTGCAGGTGCCTGTCCCATCCCAGCAGATATGGCCACCATGGTGAATGGCAGGACTTACCGGGGGGCCAGGAAACCCGGGAGACCCATCTCGCCCAGGCACACCAGGAAGGCCTGCGGGTCCTGGAGCATAGGAACTGTTGACTCCAAAGCGGCCTGGCTCTCCGGGCAGGCCTGGGACACCGGGGGGCCCTGGAGGGCCAGGGAGACCTCGGGGACCCTGGACATGAGAGACACCACTGTCATGGCACAGAGCCAAGCCCAGTGATGAGCCCCTCCCCAACCAGCCTTGGGCCATTCCTTTGGGGTCCTGGCTGAGGTTTCAGGACCATGGCCCATTCCACATGTGACCAGAGATATTGGCAGTGGTCACTCACCCTGAGGCTCTCCATGTCTCCACTAAAGCCGGACCCCTCCATGTCAATGAAGGTCTGAGGAAAGAGCCAGAGGCCTGTCAGTGGCACACAGACCCGCCCCTGCTCAGCTGTCCCCTGACCACTGACCCGAGTGCTGGGTGCTCAAGATGTCCACATGGAAGCAAAGAAAAACACCAGGGCTCCTCTGCTGCCCTCAGAGAGATCTGAAGGACAGTGGGCGAGGGTCCCATGGCAAGGCCCACAGTGCAGCGGGACCTGCCCAAGCCCCCAAAGCAGGGGCTAATTCTTCACCTCCAGGAGGCCATCCCAGGCTTGAGGATATGAGGGTAGAGGATATGAGTGGAGGAGGCCAAGGGTGGACTCACCAGCTTGTCCTGTCTGAAAGAGGGTCCTGGTGGCCCTGGAGGCCCTTGGGGTCCCGGAGGTCCTCTCACCCCAACCCCAGGATCTCCCTGTGACAAAGCCAAATCAGTCATATAGAGGGCACATGACCTCCACCTCAAGTGGGGGGGGACGGGGACAGGAACGCCTTCCCCAGCCTGTGCACACTCACCTTTTCACCCTTGGGGCCCACTTCTCCTGGGGTCCCTGGGAAGCCCTGTGGACCAGTGTCTCCCTGGAAGAAAAGGGCAGGGGCTGCGCATGGGGAGGCACTCCTCTCCTTCCGTAGCACAGGGCCTGGGCTCCTCACCCCAAAGCAGGGCTCAGACAGAAGTTGAACCCTATACAGGGTGCATGGCAGCCCAGGGAATCAGGGGGTGCTGTACAACCAAGGGGCCCCAGAGCAACAGCTGGGGCTCAATGGTGACGCTTCCAGCTACAGAAGATCTTGCTTCAGTCAGTTGTGACAAGAGAGCCTGGGACCCATGTGTAGTCTCTCCACAGGTGCCAACTGGGAGAAACACCGATATCCTCACCAGACAGTGGGTGCTGGGTCTGTTACACGGTGCATGTGTGCGTTTATGTGTACACACGTTTGTGCACATATGTACACAATGCTTGAGTACACTCATGTACGCACACATGCATGCACACACTCTGTGCACTGGCCAGGCTCTGCGAATCCTCCCACTGTGGACACTGGCTAACTCCCTCAGAGTCCTCAGCAGTGTTGGGTGAGGTTTTGTTGTCGAGTGCAAAGTGTTTCCTAGCAGTCACTCTGGTCAGCATGAAGTGTCCCTTCCCTGTATTGCAGCCCCTCCCCAGCACTTTCAGACTGTCCAGCTCTTTCTGTGCATTCTTCTCCTCTAAGGACTTGCAAGGTACACCTCTTTTTTTCCTGGTACGTAGCCTGAACATCCCAACACCCATGCGTGACCACGGCTTTCCATCCACAATTAGACTTGTATTTGCTTAATGAAAGCGAAGCTGCATTTTCAAGGTGATTTTACTGTGAGATCCCCCCATTTCAGGCAAGAGGGCTGTGTGTCTTATGCAAACACCAAGTCTGCTACGAAGGAAAAGCAAACTTACCGGCTTCCCGACTTCACCAGGGTCACCCTGGAATGTGCAGAAGAAAATGTTAGTGATGGAAATCACCTCTGCTGTCTGCCACCACCCAGGATCAGAACCCAAAAATGCATTCCGGCTCTTACAGCCCCAAGCTGCAAAACCAAGCCACACAGGACCATCATTCACTGCTTACTGTGTATTTATTTATTGTGGCGCAATGAGTTTTGAACTCAGGACCTCACGCTTGCTAGGCAAGTGCTCTACCACTTGCGCCATCCCCCCCACCCCCGCCAGCTTACTGCTGTCAAGAGCTCACATGGGGGTAGGGCTGGCTTGACATACCCTGCTTTCCACATCCTGGCCACCTTCCAGCTCTGCCCTCAAGTGGAGAGCTGGTCTGCAGTCTCCAAGGTCTGAAGATGAGGCTGCTGGATCCTGGCAGACTCTCACACCAGCCCCACTCCTCCTGCCCCAGCCCCAGTCCCAGCACCAGACCAGACCATCAAGAGGAGCCCCGTACTCACCGGCTGGCCATCCTTCCCTGGAGGCCCAGGGAGTCCTGGGGGTCCCTGTAGCCCAGGGGTATTGGGGTTCTGCACCACTGGGCCTGCGGGGCCCTGGGGACCGACTGGGCCTGGCAAGCCCGGAGAACCTGGCTCCCCCTTCTGCCCCTTCTGGCCTCCCTAGGGACAAAGAGGACACAAGGGCACACACATTCTCCTGCTGTCTCTGCACTCGCCTGAGTCCTGGCTGAACACTGCATTTCAAAGGGGACTCACAGGGTGGACGTGCAGAGAGGTCACATACAGTGGACACACGGGCACTGTGTGTGGGCACAGGGAAGGCAGGGCACAGGGAGGGGGCACAGGCCAGAGGGACTTCCTTAGGGTCACAGTGAGAGGGGCAGAAGGCACTGAGAGCTCTGGGGAGGTGGTCGTACCTTTTCCTGGCCGCCTCCAGGGCTCCGGATATTCTCATCCCACGTGCCATCCCACTTTGAGTCAGGAACGGTCTGACCTGGAAAGAGCCAGAGGGGGCCACTGTCAGGCCCCGAGTGGCTCCTGGGCCCTGCTCCCCTGTCCCAGGGATGCTCCCGCCAAGCTCCCTGGGTCGGGGGTCAATGGGAGTGACCACACAGTGCAGGCAACAGGAGAAAATTCGAAATCAGATAACCAAACCAGCCAGCGTTCCAGGCAATCCCAGCAATGGCTGAAACCTTGCAGAATATTTTCCCTGAATTTCTTTTAACAAGAGAACTTGGCCCCACAAAATGCCTTCATGTTACTTTATTTCTCCTTCCCAGGATTTAATTTGAAAAACCAAAAACTAACAGAAATCTGAAGGTGGATGAACCCCACAGATGACAGACGTGGACCTATTGTCATCCATCTTGTGCCTCACAGCCAGACTTCAATTCTCTCTCTTCATTTCTTCTTTTTCAGAGTGACCTGAGCATCTGTGGCATCTATCATGACCCTCCTCCGAAGATATCATGGCGTCACCTAAGTGAAAGGACGGCCTCACAAGCCAGTACCCACACTTGGGAACTCATACTGATGTCTGTGATGACCAAGTACACAGCTCACATCAAGTTTTCCCTTGGCTTCTCTAGGGACAGTGACAGTGGGGACACCTGTTTCATCTGTGGTCAGTTCTGTTTGTGGTCCAACGCTGTGCCTGCTTTCAGCCAGCCTTTTAGTTAAGAATGGTTTTTATAAGTTCAGCAAGAAAAGTGCAATGGTAACAGGCACACAGACACAGGTGGCCCCCCAGCCTGTGGATCCCACCACGGGCACTGCTCCTTCTCTCTGGTCCCCAGCTGTATCTGCTGTAGTGGGTTCCGGGTTGCAGGTCCCCCCAACTTCTCCCAGAGGATGAATAATGAGGTTTTTGTGGGGAGACTTAGAGATGGTGCTTGATGGACTCTTGGCCCCTGTTTATCACCACGGATCCCAGGACACAATACACAATTTACTATGTTGATGTCACATTTCTTGGGGACCTGTAGATGTTCCCAGTTCCTGAGTGCCGTTTGGGGCTATCTTGTGCCTCCTCAGCCGGGTGTGGATGGGTGTTTGGACAGTCATCATTGGCTAAGTGTGGTGGCTGGTGGGAATCAAGCCCCTTACGTCAAACATGTGGGTTGACCAACCTCAAGAGAGGTTGCTTTCTACAGGACGCATGTCCTTGTGGCTCACTATCCTTGTGGCTCTGTAGGACACCTGCCAGTTTCCAGAAGAAACTGGAGGCACATCTGCTTCTGGGCTCTGAGACCACTGCCCAATGGCGGGGCATTGGTGACTGTTCTTGTCCACAGCCCTGCCCTGGGCTACCTCTGCTCAGTAAGGAGCCAGGCTGGATGTCTCTGTAACCCCACTAACTCACCCCTACCCACACACAGCACCTCAGTCAAGAATGCACCTGCGGGATGCAGACAGTCACGTCCGGCCACCAGAGGGCAGCACAGGCTCTTTCCTGAGGATGGTGAGCGTGCCAAAGGCTAACTCAGCTCACAACTGCACAAACATTGTGAAAAGAAACCAAAGAACTAAACAAAAGGTATCCACGGGTCTGAAGACCTGATATTGTCAAAGTGTCAATGCCACCAAAGCAACAGTCCTGGTCAAACCCTTTCAGGCTTTTTTTTTCTTCCTTTTTCCAAGATCCACAGGACTTCAAAGGACTTGGAATATCCACGGAAAGGAAGAAGCGCCCCTGGGACCAGGCCTTCCTGCTCCACACTTCCTAAGAGCACCAGACCGTGGTATTGTCAAGACAGACAGGGTGACCCACGGGACAGAACGGGGCCCAGAAAGAGACACACGTATGCACCCCGATCCTCGACAGAGGCACGGAGGCAGCTCAGCAGGAGAAAGGACAGTCATTCCAATGCACAGAGACAGAACTGGGCACAGGAGGCAAAAATTAAAACAAAAGTTCCCCACTTCATACCATTTAACAAACTAAGAGAAAATGAATCGTAGATCTAAATGCAAAACCTAAAATTATAGAACAGGAGAAAAGCTTTGTGAGCTCTTAGATAAACTTGAGTCTATAAAAAGTGAATTAATACACAGAATTTCAAAATGAACAAACTTCTGCTTTTCTCAAGATGCTATTGAAAAACTGAACAAGCTGGGCATGGTGGTGCACACCCACCACCCCAGTACTCGCCTGCAAGCCCAGCACTGGGGAGGCTGAAGCAGGAGGACTGAGGGTTGGAGGCTGGCTTGGGCTACATAGTGAGTTCAAGCCCTTCCTGAGCTGCATGGTAAGACCTTGTCTGGGAGAGGAGAGGGAGGGAGATAAAATGAAGAAGACAAGACACAAACTGAGAAAATATTTGCAAAACATCTGATAAAGGGTTCAAGTCCAGAATATCTATCTATCTATCTATCTATCTATATATATAGATAGATAGATATACATATAAAACCTCCCAAAACTTAGCAATAAGAAGACATATACGCTATTCAAAAAGCAGGTGTAAAAGATTTGGACATTTTACTACATAGAACAATAAGTAAGCAAATGAAAGATGGTCAGCCTGATGGATCTGATGGAAGTGCAAACCAAAGAGATGGAGAGGCCACCCGACACCATGAGGACTCAAGACTGACCTCACCAATGTGGGGGGAGCAGGGCCTTCCCCACACTGGGCTGGGTGGACAACCACCTGTGCCACAGCTTGCTTCAGGACTTGGACCTGCACCCGGCTGCTGGCCTGCTGGTCTAGGAAGGCGCATGTCCATGGAGGGGACTGGAAGCTCCAGAGAAGCTTATCTGTAACTGCCCAAAGCTGGACACAGCCCAGATGCCCTTGAGTGGATGGACACACTGGTGTATGGATCAAACCACTGAAAACTACAATAGATGACTCCTAAGATATGGCTTTGGAGCCAAGTAGTCCAGACCAGAGGTGCTCACAGTGACCCCACTTCTATGGTATTCAAGGAGAGACCACTGTCCATGGTGGCAGAAACCTGACCAGTGGCTGCCAGGATGGGAGACAAGGAAGTCTTGCAGTTTGTGGATGTGGTCCGTCTTCACTGGACCCCAAGCCACAGGACAGATGGACAAAGGACTGGGCTGGCCCCGAGGGCCCTGAGGACCCTGGGGCTCTGGGGACATGTACCCCACTCACAAATTTGAGGAGATGGACACTTTGCCCACCTTCCCCACTTATGAGTCAATGAAGGTGAGTGGCCCCAAGAAGCTGCGAACACCCTAGGTGGGCAGCCAGCTGGAACCAGGAACCTTGGTCCTCAGCCATGAGAACCTGAGTTCTGGGTTTTCTCGGAGAGAACCCTCCAGGAGGGAGCCCTGTGGATGCTCCACCAGGAGGCCCGGCCTGCCTCCACCCCACAGAACAATGAGACAGGAAGTGGGCCCCAGCAATGGACAGCAAATTCCCTAAGACACAAATGTCGTTTTTAATCATCTCAGGCACACCAGCCCTGCCTCCTGCAGGTCAGTGGCCCTGTGCAGACTGCCAGGCAAAGGCCATCTTGCCCCAATGTCACTCCTCCCTCAGGCCAACCTGTGCTCTCCTAGTGACCCTGTGGGCCCCCAGACAAGGAGGCACTGTCTCTGGAGAGGTTCCTACACCTTCCAGCCGGAAACGATATACAAGGCACGTGGGAAGAAAGCCATATCCCATTGGCAGCTGGAGCTGCCCCACCACGACCCCACCATGAGGCCAGAGGTGGTCACAGGTAGGGACTGTCCCAGCCCTGGGAAGCTCTCATTACACACCACAGGCACACCACACCACGTTCACACACACACCACATTCAATATGTGAAGTTTTACCTCCTAATGGAGCCATTGTAATTTTTTCCTCGATTTCTTCAGTTCTGGAACCTTCAGTGTTGCTGCCTCCAGCCAAGGGTGGAGAAGTAACAGGGGGAACCTGGGGGAGGCTGGGTTGTAGGGACGTGCCCTGTAGGAGGGGAGCAGGAAAACAGTCCCGTTGTTCAGTGAACACAGACTTCCTGAGACATCAGGCCCTGATTGAGTTGGTGTGTAAAAGGAACAATTTACAGGTTTTAAGAAAAACATCATTTTAATTGGGAGGTTTCTGGACTTTCTCAGAGCTGTTCGCTCGGGGTTTTCTTCAGCCTGGGGTGTGGGGTGTCTTGCACTCTGGCAGGTCCCTAATTCCTAATCCTCAACATTTCCCAGGTGCCAGGGAGCAGGGGCCTCCTCGGGGCCTGGCACAGTTGCTTGCTGAGTCTGGGGACATTGGAAGGTGAGTCCAGATGCCCAGGGAGGGACCCTGTGGTGTCACTGTGGGGTGAGGGGAGCTGGTGTCCTTGTTGAGTAATATGACAGATTTTTCTTCCTCAGCCCCCAGCCAGCAGCCCCAGTGCTGGGCCAGCACCATGACCCCTCATGTAGATGAAGCCAGCTTTGCCCTGGAGACACACCGCCCTGTTCCTAGGACCACCTCAGGGCATCCAGGACACAGATCAGATGTCTGTGGCTCAAATGTGCAGCCAGGGACCTCCCAGCCCAATCAGGGACTCCTGGTGTCCCTATCAGTGATAAATGTGATCCAGACGGATGGACCTCAGTGGGCACCCTGGCCAGGGCAGCAGCTGTGAGGCTCATCCAAGGGTTCCCCCGGACACTGGCTTCCTTCATGGTCAAACCCTGTTGGCGTCACGGTCATCACAGCCACAGATGTCTCACACTCAGGTGGGTGCGGAGCCCTGTGGCCACCCTGAAGGGAGGCATCCACACAGTTCTTTGGATTGGCTGGGCCCCTCAGAAAGTCACTTATAGCCACGTGGGCTGTCCTGGGTGGATCTAGGATCCGGGTCAGAGTGGGCAGGTCATGGTGGGGAGGAACAGGAAACTCAAGTGGCCCATGCTGGTTATTAGCAATTCCTGGACAATGAGTGAGGCTGCCGAGGTCACACTGTCCAAGGATGGCATGGCAGGGCCTAGGACCATCATTGGGCCACAGTCCAATGAATGTGTCCAGGGACCCACAGAACATCAGAATACAGCCCAGGTGGCCATGTCCCCTTGTCCCTAAGAGCTGCCAGGCTTCACTCTCCCCAATGCAAAGGTTAGGGAGCAACCAATGCCCCTTCTGGGGGTCAGGGGTCATCATCTACCCTGTGATCATTCAGCATCCCACTGTGTTCTCACCCATGATGGCCAAGCTTTGGGAGGGGCTCCATATTGGAAACAGAAACACTTCACACCAGATGCTAGGCGCACAGGGTTGGGGGTGGGGGTGCCCAGGGGGGCTCATCCAAACGTGAAAAGCCATGTTCCTTCCGTGTCCAGGTCCCTCCCCTCCTGCCCTTTCTGTGTTCTCAGGCCTGAGCTCTTGCCATGTGGCTGCCTAGAGACTCTTCACCACAGGGCCATTGGGCTTTGTCTGTACCTCTGATACAAACCAGCCTGTTCTCTATGGCTGCCTACAAGCAGGGCAAATGAAATACCAAGGTCACTTGAAGATCAAAGGGACACTCAGAGTCAGAGGGCTCGCTTTGAAGGGCATTCATCCTCTGAGAAGCCACGAGACAGCAGAGTTGGGGAGGAGCAAGGCTGCCATCTGGCATAGCCCATCGCCCATTTCTAGCTGGGCATTTGTCTTCACCACACAGAAGAGCCCTGGGAAGTCACCTGTGTGTGCACACACTCCACTGCTGGGATGGACCCTGGCTGGAGAGACCCTCCCAATCCCTTGAAGGTGGTCTTGACCCCACCCAGCTACTCACAGACTTCTCCCTGTGGGGCCTGCGGCTGTCCTCAAGGCCACTTCCAAAGTCTCCGGATGCCTGTGGGGTATGAAGGAAGTGAAGATGTGACCAGAGCCCAGACCCCAGCAGGGCTGAGACAGCAAAGGAGGCCACTTCGGCTCTTGCCAGTCATCAGTGAGGACCGTCTTCAGTAGACACTTGTGATTTCTGTCCTCAGACACTGTCTGGGGAGAGGCCAGTGGCAGGCAGGCACCCTAGCAGCTTTTGTCAATGTGTCCACACTAGGCTGACCTCCGCATGGAGGAAGAACACACAGAGCCTCGAGATCCCATCCCAGCCCTTCACCCACCTGGACTGGACACCCTCACTCTAGTCTTGGTTGTGCCCTCCTCTCTGCCAAGGTGCTTTTAAGCTAATACAACCTGGAAGAGAAACACCCTCTGGGCCCATTAGTGACCTTAGCATTGAGGTAAGTAGGCCTGGTGGGGTGGGGGTGGGGGTGCAGCAGCTGCCCTGGTCATCAGATAGAAACCAGTTCCACTCCTGGGCTTCTCTCATGAATAAAGCAGTAGACTTATCAGGTGAGATACGAAAACTTGTGTACTTGTGGAGTGGACTTACATCACTGCCCACAGCCAGCCTTTGCCCAACCAGCCAGGCTCTGGTCAAGAGGTGTCTGTGAGGTGTGTGGTAGGATGTGCCTGGGGTGTTGTGACAGTGTCTCTTCTGGTGCGGTGGCTTGTCTTCTTGTCCTGCCCTCCAACCTCTGGGAGTTGATGGATTGTTTCCCTTAGGTGTCCTGTGATTATGCACACACCCTCCCTACAACCACACACAACACACAAGACACTTACACCACACACACCATATACAACACACAGATGTACACATATCAAACACACGCCACACGAAGACACACACCACACATAACGAACAGACACACACCATATAGCTACAACATACATAAACACATAACCGTACACATACAAATCACATGTACTGACACACCACACACAACACACACACGCACACGCATGCACCTTTCACCATGGTGATCTCTGGGGGAGGGGAGTGGTTCCACCATTCATTTATTTTCTGTGGTTTTAAATGGAACATTCAAGGGGAGGAAGGCTCTGTCTGATGCCCCAGGAGTGGCTACAAGGCTGTCCCAGGTTCCTGGCACTCAGAGCAGCATCTTTTGGGCCCTTCTCCAGCACATGACCTGAGGGCCAGCCCTCTCCCCAGGGCCCGCCTCCCATGGCGGGGAGAGCCTTGCCCAGCTCAGGTGGTCACTCACCCCGTCCTCGTCATCGTCCTCCTCGTCCAGGCAGTGCACGGGGTTCACCCGAGGGTCTCCACGCACCTTCAGCTCTGCGATCATTCCCTAAACAGAAGGAGAAGGTCAGGGAGGCTCCTGAGACAGTGCTTCAGTGCAGAGACCTCAACTCATGCCGGCCTGGCCCAGCCTGGTGTGTCTGAGCCACAGCTCCAGCAGTGAAGGAGGGTAGGGGGGGCTCCCAGGGAGGCTCTCAGGAGAAGTGGCCTAAGCTCTGGGGCTTCTGCCCAGATTATACAGGAAGATGGTCTCCCAGACAGCACTGCCCAAAACAGGGACACATAGGTCCTAGTGGGGAAGTGACAGATGGCTAGGGCCAACGCAGCAGTCATAACACGTGTGACTAACATCCTGGAAGAGACAGCCAGGCCTCAAGGAGCCACGGGTCTCGTCAGTGCCACATGGTTGTGCTTCACAGGTGCCAAGGAGTGTCTGCCTCAGACCCTGGGCAGAGCGAGGGCTTTTCATACTCAACAAAACCCAGAAGCCGCACAGCACTTGGATTGAATTTCAGGTGCCGTTCCACTGGAGTGAACCTTAACTGCTCTCAGCTGGCATGCCTTGCCCTCACAGATCTTGGCATGCTCAGGTGGCATGGAAAGCTGCCCAGGACTCTGGAGATGAGGACAGGGCCGTCACCGCCCTGTGACCAGCTGAGCCCCAGGGCCCATGATGCACCCTGGGCTGTGCAGGGCAGAGCAAGGCAGAACAGGAGCAGTGTCTGCAGACCGCACGCAGTCATGTGCCCAGGGCCTCCCTGCTAAACTGTAGGCTCTGAATCCCAGGCGGTTTCAAGGCCACACTGAGGGAGGCCAGCAGGATCAGGGTCCAGGCCCATGACACAGGAAGGATGGGGGTGGGGGACTTCTTGCTGGTCAACTTCCAGGTCAACAGCAGCATTGCCCAGGAGCATAAAACTCAGGCAGACAAAGCAGGGCAGGGTGCCTTGGCCCAGTCACAGCTGTGCAGCAGGAGCTGGGTACCAGCAGCAGTGACTGAGAACCCGCAGGGGTGGGAGGAGCTGGGGTTAAATTGTAGGACACTGCTTCTCAACAGGTCAGCACCGTTCTGGGGGGTAATTTGGGAAGTCTCTGCGATGGAGGAGGGCCTGGGGGCTCCCCATACCACATAGCTCCCCCAGACCTGCCTACCGCTGCAGGCCACGCGTTCTTCAAGGGCGGCCGGCACCTGTGATCAGAAGGAGCCTGCAGAGGGCAGGAGAGCCCAGCGTTCTGCCCTGAGTCCACCCTCACACCCGGCCGCCCTGGCTGGAGTGCTCCCAACATTCAGTGGGTGAGATGTCAGTCGTGCAAAAGCCACGAGACCCATTGCAAATGGGTCTAGACCCAAAAGTTATGAAATCCAGAGACATCTGAAACTGAAGGATCAGGATTTCATTAACGAGGATCGTGTGAGACGCTCCCTGCCCCACACTGTGACCAGAACCTGTGTGTAAAAACCAGGTGCTGAAGCCATACTGGGGGACCACCTGGCTTATTCCCCTCTGCTCCAGAGTCCCATGGTCACAATTCCCCTGTGACATCTGGGGACACAGACTCTCTGCCCTATCCCTTCTTTCTCCCTTAGCCAGGAAATGCCACATTCTGGTAGGGGACAGTGGAGGCTGAAGGAGCCATGAGGGATGAGACACAGCCTCTCTCTGCTCCACCGGAGGCCCAGCCTCCTTCTCCCACTTCCTTCCTCCACCTCCCCGGCAGTCTGCTTCCAGCTGCCGGGCCACATAGCCTCTCTTGTGCTTTCTCACATTCTCCATGGCACATGGTTCTGCCTGGTCCCTCCTCCCACACTGCACCCAGCCTGATCACACAACTTTCTTCAATCTTCCCATTGGTGTCACTGAGAAAATTGCATTGATGCTGTGACATCAGGCCTAGGTCGTACCACTAGCGAATGTCACCTCAGCTGAGTAAAAGAGGGCTTCAAAGTGCTTCTTAAAAAAAGGTGGGGCCAGAGCCACGTGGCAGTAACTGGCACCTGGGGCCATAAACAGAAGGTGGACCCAAGGGTATCCCATGCCCGCTCCGTCAGGAGAGGTCTGGTATGGTCAGGTTTGGTGGGCATGGCGGGAAGGACACCAGGGCGGCATTCCAACCCTTTGCTGACTGCTCTGTCCCCGACAGGCAAGGCCTGTTCTGGGGGCAGGAGCCCGAAGTTTGTTGGTGTGGCCATAGCTGCACCTGAGGAACAGTTACAACCTAGTGGAAAGAATGCACACTGAACTTGAGGTCCTCATGACTGAGGAAGGACTCAGGGAAAGTGAGAGCTGTCTGTGTCTTGCCCTGAGTGGGGTCTTGGTCCTGGCCCTGTGCCTGTTAGATCAGGAACCAAAGGGTGGAGTCTAAGGAGAGCCACAAAAGACACCCTGAGCCAAGAGGAAGGTAATGCACGGGTGAGTGCTAGCTGAGCATGTGTAGGTCCTGGCTTCCATCCCAGCACACACAGACACACACAAAGAAAAAAGCAAACTGAGAGGATGAGGACACTGAGGCTCCTCTAGCAAGAGAGATTAACACAAGAAAAATGCAATGACAGTGTGTGATATAACAGAAAAGGGCCCTAAATTGAGCTAGAGAGATGTTTTAAGGAAAACACTAAAAACCGGTAGGGTGAGTGGACTCCTGGGAGACACTTATCACCAAATTTGAGTCAAAAAGAGTAAACCCCAACAGACAAATGGTGCTCAAGAACCAGGGGTGGACATTAGATCAAGGGCAAACACAACAAGGGGATTGGACTTTGAGCAGATGATAAAAGCGAGAGCATACAAGGGAGGGGTGAGGATAGGTAAGACACCTAAAAAACTAGCTAGCATTTGTTGCCCTTAATGCAGAGAAACTAAAGCAGATACCTTAAAGCAACTGAGGCCAATAGGAGAAGGGGACCAGGAACTAGAGAAAAGGTTAGATCAAAAAGAATTAACCTAGAAGGTAACACCCACGCACAGGAAATCAATGTGAGTCAATGCCCTGTATAGCTATCCTTATCTCAACCAGCAAAACCCCTTGTTCCTTCCTATTATTGCTTATACTCTCTCTACAACAAAATTAGAGATAAGGGCAAAATAGTTTCTGCTGGGTATTGAGGGGGGGAGCGGGAGGGAGTGGAGTGGGTGGTAAGGGAGGGGGTGGGGGCAGGGGGGAGAAATGACCCAAGCCTTGTATGCACACATGAATAATAAAAAAAAAAAAAAAAAAAGAACCAGGGGGTGGGCACAGTATGGCACACCTATAATCCCGCACTCCGGGAGGGTCGCAACAATGAACAGGTCTGTCAGGGGCAGTCTGGATCCAGCTCAGAGTGAGTTGACTCCCTGAGCGGCAGGAGGGCTGGGTGGCCTTGCCCCAGAGGACTCAGAGGAGCCCCAGTTCCCTCCTCGCTTGCAAATCTCACTTGAGTGATTCCTTCCCAGGTATCAACACAAGTCTGAAGAAACCTTGTGCTAAAGCAAGCTTGTCTTTTGTTCTGCCACACCACACACTTCCTTCTCCCTGGCTGGGATTCGATCTAAAACCCATGAAGAAAATTCCTGAGACCTGAAGTCCACAGGGATGGAGCGAGCCAGGCCGGTGAGGTCAGCAGAGAGGAGCCTGCAGCATGCTGCCCATACGACGGACCCACCAGAGCCAGGCACAGGACCCAGAACTCCCACTGCTTCTGTCCTTCCAGCTGGCCAAGGGTTTGCTAGTCGAAAGTCATGGGTGTTTTCCCCAGACCTGATTTAAACACATAAGCATTTAAACAGCCCAGTGGCTTTTTAAAAAGTGAAAAGACAAACAAAAAGTGGGAAATAAAATTTTCAACACACACAACTGAAGATCAGTTCCTTTCAAGTATAGTTTGTGTAAGACATGGTTGAACCCATCACCCCCAAAGATGCAAGACCACAAACAGGTCAGTCAAAAAAAGAAGTACAAATGGCTACACTGGTGAAAAAAAATTCCTCTTTAAACAGTCCAAAAGATGCAAATCCAAACTCCCAGAAGCCATCTGCCCACATGTCCAACTGACAAGCCTGTTTCACCCAAAGATAGCCAGGCCGAGGGATGGTCTGCCTCACTGCAGGATGGCTGCGTCCATCCGACTCTCTGCTAGCACCAACGGGGTGTGGTCAGCACCCCACACGATGCTTTGAGGTTCAAGTATGACAGACACACAGACTTATGGGATTCTCCATCCCCAACCCCTAGATATGCCCGAGTCAAGCTGGGCCCCTTTGTGGGCCCAACTTGGTGTTGAAGTCTGGGTGGCTCCCGAGCCCTCAGGGTTAAAAGTTTCTGCCAAAGGTGGAAGGTCAGCTTTCAGAGCACTGGTCACCAGGACTTAGAACAACTTCTAACAAGCAGCCCTTGTCTGAGCCATAATCAACCATCTGTCCCGTGGGGACGTGACCTCACTGGCACACACAGGGTCTCCTGTGTGGACCCGGACAGGGGTGTCCCAGCTGCAGACAGCTGGAGTAGTAGAATTCACAGGCCGTGAGTCAGTGCCAGCCGAAGGCACCCACGCGCTGTTCCCACAACGCTGGGACTCCAGCTAGTGGTTCCAGGAAGAGGTTCCACAGCCTGTGAAGTAAGACCACCAGGGAGTTCCCAGGGGTACAGGGGACAGCCTGTCACACATCACCACTGGGGAAGGTCCACCCAAGCTGCTCTGAAGTGAGTCACACATCCCGGGGTCACAGCACCTTGTGTTAAAATATCCATCAGCCAGCACTGACCGACTAACCTTGGTCTGGACCTCAGTGTGAGCCCCGGCCCCTGCTGCCAGCAGGGCATGGCCCTTACAGGGGCAACACACGCAGAAAGACCCCATTTGGTTGCCAGCATCAATTGTTAATAATATTTTGTTTGGGTTTTAGGTTTTTTGTTTAAGACAGGGTCTCACTATGTAGCCCAGGATAGATTCAAACTCATGACCCTCTTGCCACAGCCTCATAGTGCTGGGATTATAGACCTGAACCACCACACCCAGCTTTTAACAAGGATTTCTTTTTGTAGGTCAAGTAGTGGCCTAAATTCGGCTCCACACTTACCTAACCAAGGCTTGGAGCCCCCAGGTCACACACCTGGGAAGAGGCTCTTGACCTTGGCAGGTTAGGAGTCCAGTAACAAGATGATCCCAAGAGGCCTCCTGGGGATTGGGGTTCTCAGAGAAACTACAGAAGCTCAGGTGACCCTTCCAGAGCCACAGGGGGAACCAGGAGGATGAAGAACCTACCCATCTGCACTAGATGCCAGACTGGCCTCATCAGTGGTGGGTAGGGGGGGTCCTCTACTCCCTGAAGCTACAGCACCAGCTGGAGGTGCCTGCTGTCCCTTTTCTCGTATGGACGCCCCTCCCATTGGCCAGTCCCCAACACAGGATGGCACAGGGTATACCTGAAACTTATCAGGATCTGCTGCTCCAGCCTGACCAATGAAGAGGCCAGCGCCACGCTCCAGCTCCAGGCCCTGTAGAGACCGAGCAAAGTGCACCCTCTGGAACTCCTCGCAGTCCACATAGAGCGCCACAGAGCCACCATCCACACTGAGTGCAAAGCGCGTCCACTGGCCAACGAATGCGGGCAGGCGGAAGCTGGCGGCCGTGTGGGTCTTGCTGGCACCTGGCTCTGTGTAGAGTAGCGAGATGTGCTGGTGTCCGTCCTGCACCTCTGAGAGCTTCACTCCCAGGGATACCACCGCCTGAGCTGCGTCTGTGATGGCAAACAGCACCCCTGCATCCTCCGTGGCCGGGTGGACATGGAACAGCATGGAGAAGTCATGGAAGAAGAGTCTGGGGAAGTGATACTGGGCCACCTGACCACTGTTGGCATCTGGTCCAAAGACATAGGCTAGCCCGACGTCGGGGTCCTCGATCTGGGTGATCTGCTGGGGTGGGGGCTCCCCGAGGAGCTGCAGCAGCCCCACCTCCTCAATAATGTTCTCTGCAAAGACAAGGACATTTGGTGAGGCAGCTGTGGAAGAAAAGGCCAGGGAGCCACCATGGCACCCCAGCAGAGGAGAAAGGAGAAACAGAGTCAGCAAGGGCATATCCACATGCCTGCTCCATCCTGGTCCTCTGAGCTCTGGTACTCAGTGACCAGCAGGCAGTCGCCCACTCAGCCAGGCCACTCCTTCCCTGCATGGGCTTACAGTCAAAGCAGGGACACCCAAGCTGGAGCAAGGAGCTGGGCATGGAACCCCTACCCGCTCCCCAATCTCGCTCTGGCCCGACAGGAGCAGCACACACTGGGGATTAAAGACATCTCTCCACTGTGGGAAGAGGGAAACTGTACACCAAGATGTCCCCTGCACACCAAGTGCCACGCACACCAAGTGCCACCCACACCAGGAACCAGCCTGATGACAAATCAAATCCCAGAGATGCAGGACACAGAAACGTGGTGGCTCCCAGAGCTGTCCTTCTTACGCTCTAATTTCCTCATGGTTTACAAGTTCACACTGACACAGAGTCCCATCCCGCTGTCCCCCAGGCCTGTTGGGGTGCTGGCTTGGGCATTTCACAGGGTGTGGGGTGACTGGTCCTGTGTGGGAGGTGTGCATATGGGGGTCTCCTTGTCTCCCTGCTGCTCCTCATGGGCTGCCACTGCTGCCACACTGGGAGGACCAGGTGAGGGCTCACCCCTGTAGCCCCAGGCAGCACAGCTCCTCTGAAGCACCTCCGAGTCACAGGGATTCACTTTGCTCATTTCTCACTCCTCATACCCACGTTGAGCCTGACATCACCACAGAGTAAGCACTGCCTGTCCCCTTCCAAGGGCCACCAGTGTCATCAAACAAGTGCTCTCATGTGACATGTCACTACAAGGTGCCCCTCAGCCACATGAGCCCAGACTGGGGACACAGCCATGGGTGCCCATGTGATCACCCTCAGAGGCCTGACTCTTATAATGCCTACAAGGGTCTTAGCTGAGCCCTTGGGGCTGAAGGTCTCTGGGGCTGGGCTCTTAGGGACCAGAGCAGTGGTAGAAACCAATGTGGCCACTGCTGGACACAGGTTGGGCAGGTACTGGTCTCCTGGAGGGGTCTTCCTGGAACATGCACCATGCCCGGCAGTGTCTGGACTGGAGGGCATGGTCTGAGGCTTTTCTTCAGGCATTCCCTACCCTCCTGGCCAAAGTCTGGGTGTGGTCTGCTCCCAACAGAAAGTGTGACAGTCACACAGGGAGGGGACACTGGGGCAGCAGGCAGGCTGGCTGTCAAGAGCTCCTCTGCAAAGAGGCTGCTGATGTGCAGGTGTCCTGAGGGACTACAGTGAGCCAGTGTGGCAGGTGTGAGTGTGTGTGCGACTATGTAGGAACACTGTCACAGGCCAGGCTCCAAATTTAGGAACAGGCTGACCAGGCTTCTAGGCAAGGTAATGGGAGGAAAAGCGAACCTTGACATCATAGGACGAGTTGTGTCAAAGAGCTCCTTAGGAACCAGAAGGAGCCAGAGCTGCCACAGAGCACGTCCTCCTGGGCTGGTAGCAGCACGGCTCTGTGTGTCCACATGGGCAGGCTGACTTGCCATCTGTGACTCCCCATGGGCCTTAGCATGTGCTTGCAGCTTAGCCCTGTATGCTGACCGGACATGGAGTTGGCCAGTGCAGGTGCACAAGGCCTTGGGGGACACACCTAGCCAGAGCATCTGCCTCTCTGAGGCTGAGAACAGCACAGACTGGCAAGCCAGTCATGGGCCCCAGAAGGCTGGAGGTCCCTTCCCACTTGCAGCCAGACACCTTGGTCCACCCCAATGGCATCTGTTATGATGATCCATTTTTGTCACAGGGCTCTGTGACCACTCAGGGATGCTGTAAGATTAGGAGTGGGGCTGTGCACGCCTGCCTTTATGGTAGTGATGAAGTCACACCCTTTCTCCAGGGCAGCAGAATGTCCCCAGTCCTGCATTAACTCAGCACACAGGTTGCAGCAGCTTGCCGGCCTCCTGGGCTGGAAGACACCAGCATGTTACACAGTGGCCTCCGAGACCCCAGGGACACAAAGCTGGCCCTTCCCCAAGTTCTCCTACTTCCTCTCCAGAAATTCCTTTCACTTCCATGGGGAGTAGCCTCCGAATGCCAGGACCCTAAGATCACTGGCTCTGTCCTCGGGTTACAGGCACTGCGAGTCCAGAAGGTCACTGCCTTCCACGCTCAGGGGCTGGACCAACTGTCTTGAACGGGAAGCCAGTTTCCCTCCAGGGAGCTAAGGCCTGAGCCATGCTCTGAGAGCTCAGAGAAGACCTTCCTAGGAATGAGGAGGGTACCCTTAGCAAGAGGACCCCCCTCCCCAGTTGCCCTCCTACCTTCAGATCCAGGAATCAGGGACTTGCCTGGCTGAAGACAAGCAAGCAGCTATGGGTGGTTCTGGAAACCTGTGAGTTTTCACACGTGGCCCCTCTCACTATACGCAGGACACACCATAGATAGTATGCCACACAGGTACGGCCAGGGCCTGGCTCAGGAGAGACCTGGCCAGGAAGGACTCCCCTGTGGCCCCAATAACTGGTAGACGCTGGCCCTGACAATGCCACAAGCCCCCTGACTCCTCTCCATCCAGAAGCCCAGGAGTCCCTTTCCAGGAGCAGCTAGGAGCACCAGACCCTAGGCAGCCAGCCCATTTCCTTTGAGACGCTTGACCCTCTCTGCCAGCTCATCCAGCAGGGCTGAATGGGGGAACTGAGGCAGGGTGCCCCCTGCTCCCATCCCCCGGACAAGGCTGGGCTCACCCAGGTTGTAGCAAATGTTACAGAAAGACCCTTAACTTAGAGACCCTGGAGGTGGAGCACCAGGCTGGAAGGTGTGCCTGCTGCCATTGGATAGCTCCAAGGACCAGACCCTCCTTTGACCCCAAATCAGGTCCTGAGTGAGAGCAATATCTACCCACTGTGGGGGAAAAGGCTCCAAGCGGGCAAGTCCCCTGAGGAGCTACACGTAGTAAACTGTATCCCTGACAGCCATGGTGAGCACACTATAAACAAGCTGACCCTTGCCCACCCACAGTCCCCATGCACTGTGTTGCTCCCGAGCCCTCAGCACCCCAGGAGGCTCCCTGAACCCACTTGCCAGTCGGCTCCCAAAGACATTGCTTGGGGACCCACAGCCCCTGGCTGCCTGGTTTAGGACAGGTCTTGGGCTGCTGGATGACTGTTAAGTGTCCTCACCAGCCTCCCCACCCTGCACAGCGAGGATCTCGCCACTGTCTGCGTGGAGTCTGGCCACTGCTCCCAGCCCTCAGGTGAATGTCAAGTTGGCCAGGGAGCCTCTAGTTCAGTACATAGGGGATGTGTGTCAGAGCTGCCCAGCTGCAAACCAAACAGTTCCTACAGAACCTGCAGAGAAACTGGCTCTCACACTGAGCATTTCCCTCAAGCCAGGAAGAACCACACCAGCCCCTCACTCTTTCCCTCTCCTAGGATCTGTTCGGAAATCTGCACCCACAGCACGATGGAGTATGTGTGGGGTGGGGAGAAAGGGTGAGATACTCAGGGCCAAAGGCATCTCCAGTGCTGGACCTACCCCTCAGGACCCAGTGGTCACCAGCATGTGGCTATTAAACCCAGAACTAGGAGAAAATTCCAGCAAGCATCCTGGCATGCTACTGCCACAGACCAAGCCCTGGGGCACAGCTCAGGGAAGCTGCTGTGACGCCCCAGATTAAACAGCCCATGGGAACACTGGTGACATCCACACCCACTGCCTGTTCAGCTACAGCAAGTAGGAGGCCACCAGGCTTAGTGTGAAATGTCTCTGTGGACAGCTTCAGGACACCTCAGGGACCCCGCACCCTCTGTTTTAAGAGGTGCACACTTAGGGTCTTCATGGAACCAAGAAGCCACAACCAATCCAGCATGGGAGGGAAAGGACAAAGGCCACAAGAAGTCACAACCAATTAAAAACAAGTGGGGAGGACAGGTTAAAATGTGTCAACAATCAGGGTGCATAGAGAGCTCTCCTGTGGAGTGTGAGGTACACAGCGACCAGGTCGGGCAAAGAGCAAAGATCAGAGAAACGTAAACACAAAACAGCAGCACAACAAGGAAAATCTAGCAAAAATAAAATTGACAGGCTAAGGGAAACACCAGGCAAACCATTACATTACAAAGTAAGCATTGCAACACTAATATCAGACAGAGTTCAGGTTGAAGTCATCTGGGACAAAGGGATGACATGTTTAGACAGTCTGCTGAGATCTGCAGAGTAAGGTACCATGGATGTGCACCTAGCAACGACAGGTATGCACAGCAATGCGGAGGAGCCCTCATTTGTAATGACAGGCCCTGAGGCTCCCCTCAATCCCCTTTCCGGTTATAATGGAAAATGACAGCCTGGCGAAACCCAGAGGCAGAGACTTTAGGACCTAAAAAGTATTTACAGAAAGCGCTGTAACTGTTACTTTGTTACACAGTAGCAATTTGAACTCCTGGGGTGGGCAGGACCCTAATCTTCATAGCAAAAGAAAACATAGAAGCAGAGAGAACTGAACGCTGACTGGGAGAGGAAAACCAACCTGTGTGAACGGAGACGCACCTGCCCCTGGGTGGAGACCTGATAGCACAGGCTGACCCCTTTGTAATATCAAAACCCACAGGCAGTGCTGCCCAGTAACAGCCCCGATGGGTACTTCTGGTGACCTAGGAGAGAAAAATGCCCAAAGATGCCCAACAACGAGGACACTTTGATGAGGAAAGCTGGGTGTTCCGTAAGGGTGGGGTCCTGCCTGAGCAGAGTTGTCCCCCAGGACCCAAATCAGGCCCACCAGGATGCTGGGCCACTGTTTAATAAACACAGCAAGAATGGACAATACACCAGCAAGTCAGGCAAATAAGCAGGTCGTTACAGTGTAACCTGTGACAAAGAGAAGCTGAAATGCCTAAAGGTGCATCAGTGGGCCGGGGCTGTGGAAAACGCCAGAAGTACAGAGCTTCAGGAAGAACAGGGGGT